AATAATCATTTGTTTGTAATTTTATGGCAGTTCAACAATACCTAAAACAGGAAAAAAAGTTAAAAAAAATAGTTAAGCTGTAAAATGTTAATTGTTATAATTTTTTATGTTTTTATTTAACATTTTCTGTCTTTTAATTTTATTATTATTTAATAAAATGTTATTATTATTTTATTTAAAAAATAAAAAATAAAATATTAATTAATTAATAAATAAAAAAAATCACTTCTATCCTATATACCCCCTGGCTGTATTTGTGTAAAACCAATAAAAATAAACACACAAATTAACTCAATTAAGATGAAAGGGACTGACAGGATGGAAAGTGAAGTTGAGGACACAGAAAAAACACAAAAACATAAAAATATTAAACTGATATTTTGGTAAAATGTGAATTCCATCTCTATAAAGTGGATTTAAATATATGATAGAAACTTGAAAATGTGATAAGAAAATGTACTAGTGCATCCAAAACATGTCCAGTTTGCAGTGTGTGTTGCCGTGTATTTAATCTGTTAATAATACTCAAATGATTTAATTTCCAATCAGTGTTAATGTGTTTACATCAGTGTTCAGACATTTGTTTAGAAAGCTCTGAAATTGGCTATGTGCTGCTACCAAACACACACACACACACACACACACACACACAGAGAGAGAGAGAGAGAGAGAGAGAGAGAGAGAGTATAACAGCACTGCTCCACTGGCCACACAACACACACAAATCAATACTTCTATTAACTTTAGAGGCACAGTAACTTTGGACCCATAATTCATGAGGGGCAGCTGGATAAAAGCTCTCAGCAGCACAAATTGAATTATGCTATCCGTACACTACCGTACAAAGAGTCGTGGTCTCTTCTACCCACCAAATCTGCATTTATTTGATTAAAAACTGAAAAAAAATGAAATATTGTGAAATATTATTACAATTTAAAACAACCTTTTTCTACTGTAATATATTTTAAAATTTAAATTATTTCTGTGATCAAAGCTGAATTTTCAGCATCATTACTCCAGTCTTCAGTGTCACATGATCCTTCAGAAATCATTGCTGTATTTTCAGTATTGCAATATGGTGACAGTGACAGTGAAGTGACGTGTGGCCAAGTATGGTGACCCATACTCAGAATTTGTGCTCTGCTTTTAACCCATACAAGTGCACACACACAGCAGTGAACACACACACACCCGGAGCAGTTGGGGGTTCGGTGCCTTGCTCGAGGGTCTCACCTCAGTCATGGTATTGAGGGTGGAAGAGAGCACTGGTTAATCACTCCCCCCACCAACAATTCCTGCCGGACCTGAGACTCGAACCCACGACCTTTGGGTTACAAGTCTGACTCTCTGCCCGACTGCAGTATGCTGATTTGCTGCTCAAGAAACATTTATTATTATTATTGTTACACAGATTTTTTTAAGAAAAGTTCAAAATGACAGCTTTTATTGAAATATGTGACCCTGGCCTGGACCACAAAACCAGTCTTAAGTGTCAATTTTTCAAAATTGAGATTTATACATCATCTGCAAGCTGAATAAATAAACTTTCCATTGATGTATGGTTTGTTAGGATAGGACAATATGAACATCTGGAATCTGAGGGTGCGAAAAATCTAAATATTGAGAAAATCGCCTTTAAAGTTGTCCAAATGAAGTTCTTAGCAATGCATATTACGAATCAAAAATTACGTTTCAATATATTTACGGTAGGACATTTACAAAATATCTTCGTGGAACATGATCTTTACTTAATATTCTAATGATTTTTGGCATTAAAGAAAAATCTATAATTTTGACCCATACAATGTTTTTTTGGCTATTGCTACAAATATACCCCAGCGACTTAAGACTGCGTTTGTGCTCCAGGGTCACAATTATAATAATAATAACAATGATAATAATAAATGTCTCTGTTAGTATCTGTGTAGTCGTAATATTACCATCTGTTTTTGGTCTGTGTTTTGAAATGCAGTGTGAAAAAAATAAAAGATTCACGTTTTGCACGTTTGCATTTATAATGTCCCTCTGCATTGATTTAAATGTGTCTCCCATGGATTTCACTAATAACGCTCTGATCCAGGGACCCAAATGATTAAAGCAGTGCACGCACACACGATTCCCGTGAAATGAAGCAAACTAAAAAAAAAAAAATATGAAAATTGGAAATATAAAAATAAAAAGCTAATAAAAATAAATGTGTATATATATATATATATATATAGTCACAGGACGTGGCTGTAGTAAAGCGCACGACGATGGAGCAAACGTAAACAGTCTTTAATTCTAACTTCAAAACACAGGACAGGAGAATAACCAGGAGAACTCATTAACATCAACACACATAGACAAAGAGTAGACAGACACAGAAGGCTAATAAGGACAGGCAAACAAAAGGAGCAAACGAGAGAATTAACAAGGTGACGGAAGCTACACAGGTGAACAGAATGAACTAATCAGGGCAACTAACTAGGTCAAAGAACAAATGATAGGAGATCAGGAAATAACCGTGACATATAGTGTTCATTTATTTTTAGATTTAGTCAATTTAGTACTTCAGCGTTTTATTTTTTAAAGTTTGTTTTTGATCTATTATTTTATTTCAGTTTTCTTTCAATTAACAAAAACGTTAAGAGCTTTAGTTAATGAGAACAACACTTAATGGTACTAAATGACCAGACCCAGGTGAAATCTGCAGACTTTTTGTACTAGTTTTCTACTAGTTAATCTGCTTAATTCTGTAGAAGCGATTCAACCATGCTAAAATATGTTAAATGGAGCTGACAAGCAGCACACTTTTATTGGTAGCACAAACTGTATTCAGAGATTTATCACCTGCTTTTCTCCTTCACGAAGCGAAAGGTCAAACGCTAGAGGTCCATCTGTGAGGCCGCCAAGATTCATGGATAAAAGTCTGATAACAAAGGGGGAGAAACACACAGTAAGAGAGAAACCGGGATCCTTCCATCTCTGTCTGCAAAACAACATGAGTGCTCACACGTTCACACTTACGCTGAAGGAGTCGTGAATGGACCATCTGACCTCTGATGACGCAATGACTCACAGACGGCCCTCGTGAACTCCACCGCACGGCTAAAAACACTCAGCTCCATCTGTTAGCAGCTCGTGAGACACAGCACAAATGATTCACTGCAGAGGAGTTTTAATGGAAGGGTCTGTCACAACAACTTATTTATAATAGGTATAGTTCATATCATAGATTTAATTTTTCATTTTGTGGTTTAAATGCATCTCAGATTATCCGTACCATCAGCCTTTACATAAACGCACTGGTGATACCATGATTAATGGTGATGGTACACATATTAATATCATAAATACTTCAAATTCCAAAGATAATTCAGTAAATAGCAGTTCACGTAAAAAAAAAAAAACAGTATTTCCATGATACCCATCCAAAAATACATGGAAATACCATGGTAAATGTGTGCTAAATGTGTAAAAAAATATTTTTTACAAAAAAACAAAACACTGTGGTATGTGCCTAAAATAAGATAATATAAAATCTAAGTAGTACCATGAAAAAGGCAACCTACAGAAAAAAAACATGGTAGTAAAATAGTAATTGTGCAAAAAAAAAATAAAATAAAATAAAATAAATATATATATATATATATAAATTGCATAATTAATGTATAAATATTAATTTAATTAAATAAAAATTCACTACAATGGTATAGTGCATACCTTAAAAGTATTTTCATGGTACATGTAAAAAAAATTATAAAAATAACTTGGTAGCACCATAGTACATGTGAAAAAAATTAAATAAAATAAAAATAAAATACAAACAGAAACAAAGTAGTACCATGGAACAGGTACACGTCAATAAAAAAATTATGTTGTAAAATAAAATAAAAACATACAAGTCTAAAAAATATGGTAGCAGCAACATTTGCCAAGAAATTAATTAAAATAAAAAATAAACAAATAAAACAAAGATTCAGATCACTAACAGCAATAGCAAAAACAGTGAATGTTCAATTTAACAAGCACCTCTAATCACGGTTTAATCTTCCTGAGTTTAAGAGCATCAGTTTATTTGATACACACATCAGGCCTGTTCAGTCTGGACCGGACAGTAATTACAGCATCATTCACTTCACTCAAAAGCTTTGAAAGGCTTGCTAATGATGTGGTGATGTGAGACAAACCCACCATCACAGAAAAAAGGATCAAGCAGTGACCCGTTATTTTACCTGTTTGACAGTCCCTGACAGTCTGGCTCTGCAACTGCAAGAAGAAACACTGCTGCACGAATCCTACAGTTTCAAGTTGCATTTCAAATATGATGGAGTTAGCAATGACATTAAGCATCTTGTTTATCACATATTCAGTTATAATGTTATACAATATATTTTTGCTCACAATGCTTATATATTCTTTTTGGCTCTGTTTTATTACCTTTGCAATGCATTCTGCATTCTTTGCAATCCCAGAATTCACTGCAGTACAAAAACCCTTCCAAGATGAAACGAGAGAAATTCCTTTATATACACTGAACAAAATTATAAACGCAACACTTTTGTTTTTGCCCCCATTTTTCATGAGCTGAACTCAAAGATTTAAGACTTTTTCTATGTACACAAAAAGGCCTATTTCTCTCAAATATTGTTCACAAATCTGTCTAAATCTGTGTTAGTGAGCACTTCTCCTTTGCCGAGATAATCCATCCACCTCACAGGTGTGGCATATCAAGATGCTGATTAGACAGCGTGATTATTGCACAGGTGTGCCTTAGGCTGGCCACAATAAAACATTCAATTAATACTGAAAAGCAAAAATTATTATTACTTAAAAATGTACTATTTTACCCAATATTTGTGTGGTGTGTGATGCATTTTAATTGTATAAAATCATTAGCTCAGCAACATGGAATGGCCAAATGTTTTATGGACATAATAAAATAAAATAAAATAGCATGACTTAAGACAGTTTAAAAGCAATCAGTAACTTTATTGAATTATTTTTCAGTAACACAGAATGACAAAGCAATTCAAATGTGTCATTTCTGCAAAAACTAGTTGAATTGCAGAAATTAATGACTGTTTTCAAGCATATGGAAGCCAATAAAGATGACGCATTACTATTTTAGCGACATATTTTCCTAAGATCTCAAAGGTTATCTAAAGAAACAAGTTCTTTTACATTTTCCTTCATATTTAATTATATTTAATGACCAATTTTCACAATCCGATCAATCCCGATGGATAAAAATCAAGTTCCACCCTACATTATTTTTTATTGAATATCTTGTTTTACTCAGAAATTATGAACGCATGGCTGTTTTGTCTGGCTTACAGGAGAGAAGGAGACAGATGGACAGAGAGCTGCGTCACTGTTGCAGGGCAGGAAGGATCTTCCCCTCACACAGACCGAATCCCACTCTATAGCCCCTGCCCTCACAATGACCTGCAGAGAGTCCAGAAGCGACACAACAGAGATCACATTTCCATCAACAGACATCTCTCCAACATTAAACATGCACACGCAGACTCTAAAAGCCCACCTGTGAGAGTGACCTCGTCCCCGTCCTTCAGGAAGGTCCTTGTCTCTCCATCGCCGAGGTCAATAGTCTTGGATCCTCGCCATGAGAGCTCCAGCATAGAGCCGAAACTCTCTGGATCCTTCATGCACACAAATACAGAGGCAGTACTATTTAATACAGCTCTATGCAGAAACATATGACATTTCTTAATTATTTTTTACTATTTTATTAATTACAGTTCATATGATTCATGGTAATTATTGTATTATTTACTCAATTTAACTGATTGAAATTATCTAAAAATATAAATGTGTCTTCCAGTGCATTTATTTAAAATAATATTTTTTATAAATAATAATTAACGTTGATTATTATATTATGTACAGAATGTAATGGATTGAAATGATATTAAAAAAATTAATGTAGCTTCCTGTGTATTTACTTGAATTGCTTTTTTCAAATATTATTAATTATAGTTCAATGTAATAATTAAAGTTAGGTTAAAGTATTTTTATTATTATAATTAATCATTCAAATTAAATAATTAAAGTTAATTATTATATCATTTACAGAATTAAACAGATAACAGATTAAGTATAAATGTTAATTTCTCAAGCAATTGTTTTTACAGAAGACAAACATTTCATAATTATTTGCAATTTTTTATAATTATTATTAATATTATTGATTGCAGTTAAAATGAATGATTAATGTTAATTATTATATTATTTACTGGATTTAATGGTTCAGATATCAAAATGTAAATGTGTCTTCCAGTTTATTTACCTAATTTTTAATATTTAATACTAATATCAAAATATAAATATATATTAATAATTATAGATACATGTAATAATTAATGTTCATTATATAATATTATTATTATTTATATATAACATATTTATCATAATATTTATTAAAATTAACATATTGAATTAGAATAAAAAAGATAAATGTGAATTCCATGATATTTACTTAAATTAATAAATAATAAAATGAATACAATTCTTTTTTAAGGTTTCAGAACTGATCTGACTCGTTAGGCCTTGATCTAAATCACAAGATGGCAGAGTTTTTTTCTTTTTCAAGTGTTTCTTTAATGTATTCTATATATCACTGATATGCTCACACACACACACACACTCACTCACTCGCTCACTCACACACACACACACACACACACACACACACACACACGCACACGCACACGCACACACGCACACACGCACACACGCACCGGTCCGCTGATGGTGCCTGATGCCAGCAGGTCTCCCGGTCTGACGTTGCAGCCGTTGACTGTGTGGTGTGCCAGCTGCTGTTTCATGGACCAGTACATGTACTGAGAAGACACACAACACATTACACGCACCTGCTGTCTGTTACTAAACGAGAAAATGGCTTTCTCTGCATGTGACAATACAGAAAGCGTGGAAATGGAATGGGTTTCTCCCAGAACCAATAACACAAGGAGCCCAACACAGAGGCACTGAGAATGAATAGCTTTGTTTATTTGCTCTGCACAGTCCGTGTTGTTTAAGTGCCTGAATTATGCAAATCTGGTAATCACGTGAAGTTGCAAATCTAAACTTGCACGGGGCAATTTACGACGACGTAAACAGACACCATATCAACAGCAAGAGTGTGTATTTATGCACAGAAAACGACAAGACAATTCCAGTGGGGATGAAAATAATCTATTGGGTTCAAAGGGTAGGGTTAAATTTTTATTTGGCCCAAATTATCAGTTCTTTGTTGTTTCTTGTCCCAGTATGACCCAACGCTTACACTATGTTGGCCAGCCATTCTGCATATCTGTGTAGAGTATGTTTATCATTGCCTTATGCAATCTTTGATTCTTTCCTGCTCCGTATCTGGTTCATGCTGGAGCTTTTTCAGGGAAACTCATGTATAATCAAATGGGTACAGTAAGAGTTGTCAGTATGAGTTACTTCTGGAACAGCAAATGCAATGCAAAACAAATGCAAAACTATCTCTTACCTTAAAATTGGACTTGCAAATGGTGGCGGCCTCTCGCATCCCCTCACCTGAACAGATGAGAAATAAACGAGAAGAAAACAAGACTGAGCACTGTAACATGCAGCATATGCACATTAATGACAGACAGATGTTACAGATACTGACACACACCTTTCACAGCGACAAAGAGGTTGATGTTGAACGTATAGGGGTCATCGTGACGCAAGTATGGAAGAGGCACAGGGTCCTGAAAAATAATTTGAAGAAAACTGAGCACACATCTCAGCCAAAACCTGAAAAATGAAGTCTACTCAGGCAGTACATATGGAGGCAGAAAGGCACATCTGAACTCAATATTTGCATCAGGAAGTCAAGGTTTGTCTGGTTCACATAGTCCAGACAGCTGCTGGAGCTACAGAGTTATGCAGGTAAAAAAGCCATTTAAATGTTGATGTGCAATCAGACATAAATAAATAATAAATATACCAGTTTTATCCATGCACAATTTTTATTTTGAGGACCCTTAATTTTAATATTGTTTTATATTTAATGTTTTATATATGTTTATTTGTTGCTGCTGTGTGTCAGGTTTATTATCGTTAACTAAAACTAAGAACAGAAAAAAAAAAAACATTTTCGTTACTTGAAATAAAACAAAATATAAAAACATTTTATTTCAGATAGTTGCCAAGACAACATTTCTTGTTCTCATTTATTTCTCAGTGTTTCTCATTTTCAAGCTAAAGTACTACAATACCTAAAACTAATAAATAAAAAATAGACTTTATTTGTTTAAAATAACAACAAAAATGCACAATAAAATTTCGAACATGTTAAATACAATTAGTGAAAAAAGAAAATACAAAAATGAAATCTAATTAAAAATATTAATAAAAACTATAATGGAATATCATTGATACTAATATAACACTGTTGTGTACATTATTTGGGTTGCTGATTGATGGAAATTAGAAAAATGCTGTGTGATGGGGATTAAATGCATAAATGAATTTAAACTATGGTTATTTGATTTAACTCAAATTAAAACCATTAAAAAACATTTAGTTACTTGAATTAAAAAATTAACTGAAATAAAATAAAAATATAAAAAAATAAAACTTAATATAAAAATAAAAAAAATCTATTTCAGCTTGTTGCCAAGGCAATATTTCTCATCTTAATTAGTTTAACTTAATGTACTAAAATAACTCAAAACTAAAACTGAAATAAAAATGTATAAAAACTGCAGACATATAAAAAAAAACTAAAATACTAAAAACGACAAAAACATATGAACAAAATTACTAAAACTTTTAAAAATTAAATTTAAAATAAAAAATGGAAACTATAAAAACTGGTTTAAAACATTAAACATATTAAACATTTTAAATTATTTTTAAAACCTAAGATTCCATTTTTTTTTTTGCCAATTGCCCAATAAGTATTATAGTCAATAAATATTTGCCGTTACAAAAATCTAAGAACTCATGTTGAACTTTTGAAAATAAAAAACTACATTAGCCTTAAAGCATCAGAACAGACCTGTGGCCCATTTTTGGGTGGTGACCCATCAATTGAGAATCACTGATCCAACAAATAAATGCATAAAAAGAGAATATAGATGTGTTTTTGCCTCATTCGCTCACAGTGGCTGGATGTTGTAGAGAAAGAGGAAAGCAGTAACTCAAAGAAAGGCCTTTAGCACGTCTCATTTCCCGCTTATATGCAAAGTCTGCACGTCTGTGATGATGAAGTGTCCGTTCCACAGAGCTGTAACAGGACTGTAAAGTTGAATACATTTGAACTATGACCATCATTTGTGAAGATAATGAGTCTGCAATGGCTAATCGGATACTCTGTCCAAAGCCTATGCAGGCAGCGTTTTAAAGGCACCAAAGAGCTTCTACCAAAGAGGCATGATTACGTTGCCTTCTAGACACCCATCCGTTCTGCATGAAGAAGGGCTATTTGTGTGACACACGGAGCTGCTGCCTATGTAGAGAGATCCAAATCATTCACTTATAAGGTTTAGTTTCAGTAAGGATGCCGTCTATATATGTAGTAGACAGCTGTTTTTGGAAATGAACAGAAAAAAAAGAGACAATACGCTGAAACTACACATTTCCGTTCAAAAGTTTGGGGTCGGTACGTTTTTTTTAAATGTTTTTGAAAAGTTTATGCTCACCACGGCTGCATTTATTTGATTAAAAAAAATACAGTAAAACAGTAATATTGTGAAATATTATTACAATTTAAAATAACTGTTTTCTGTTTGAATATATTGTAAAATGTAATTTATTCCTGTGATCAAATCTGAATTTTCAGCATCATTCCTCCAGTCTTCAGTGCCACATGATCTTCAAAGGTTTAGTTTCAGTAAGGATGCCGTCTATATATGTAGTAGCGTCTATATATGTAGTAGACAGCTGTTTTTGGAAATGAACAGAAAAAAAAGAGACAATACGCTGAAACTACACATTTCCGTTCAAAAGTTTGGGGTCGGTACGTTTTTTTAAAATGTTTTTGAAAAGTTTATGCTCACCACGGCTGCATTTATTTGATTAAAAAAAATACAGTAAAACAGTAATATTGTGAAATATTATTACAATTTAAAATAACTGTTTTCTGTTTGAATATATTGTAAAATGTAATTTATTCCTGTGATCAAATCTGAATTTTCAGCATCATTCCTCCAGTCTTCAGTGTCACATGATCTTCAGAAATCATTTTAATATGCTGATTTGCAGCTCAAGAAACATTTCTGATTATTATCAATGATGAAAACAGTTGTGCTGCTTCATATTTTTGTGTCTTTTCAGGATTCTCTGAACAGAAAGTTCAAAAGAACAGCAATTATATGAAATATATTTTTTGTAACAATTTTTTGATCAATTTAATGCATCTTTACAAAATAAAAGTATTATTAGAAAAAAAAAAAGTCTCAATAAGCTGACAATTATTTTCATGTTATGGCCTATAAAATGAATATTATATGGATAAATATTCATCTTGTGCATTTAAAGAGAAGGGGCTCTCAAAGACCTTTTTCCATAATCTACCTTAACCTGTCCCTGTGAAATGCTACAATACAATCTTAAAATAAGTAAGAATGCAAATGGCCAAAACCTGAAAAATGTCTTTTAATACATAGCACATAGAGATTGGAAGTATGATATTAAACTAAATACAGTATGATCTTAAACTAAACAGGAAACTATAAAATATCCAATATAGACTGTTACTGATAAACAGGAAAAAGCAGATGTCGAGTTATTGTGCATGCAGCTATTTTCAACCCATTAGGAATGCAGTAATTCATGACGTGTGTATTTATAGTGTCATCCCATTCCCAAAATATTCACACTCTTACACTTAGAATCGACCCAATTTACCTGGACCGGATTGGGCTCGACAAAGGGCATCAGTGCTTCCATGGGAACGACCCAGGGCGAGATAGTGGTCCCAAAATTCTTGCCCAGGAACGGACCTAATGGAACATATTCCCAAGCCTGGATATCCCGAGCTGCAACATAAAAGAGAAAAAGACACTGCATAGAGTAAGTAACCTATACGGATCATGCACTGGCATTGTGGCAGTGAGTTTTGCGGGGTTACAAACTTTCTTTAAAACATTTACCCCGCTGAAAACAGTTTAAATGCATGAGTCCTGAACAACTAGATGCATTTACACTCTCTTTAAACTCTCTCTCTTCTGCTGCTTGCCTGAATCTTGGCAAGGATGGATCATTACTTGTGCTATTTCCTCATCTTTGACTAAATTCAATTAAGTTTTTTCAAATTAAATGTGCAGTTATTCATTGCACACATCACTACTCATGCACAAACAGGCTGTGTTCCAAATCCCAGTGAGCTGCCTTGATATCTACAGCCTACATAGGCAGCTACTTTCTAAGATGGAACTTTCCGTTAAAGACACAACATTCTAACACTCCAATAAGCATAAACATACATAACACACACAGATATTGACCAAATAGTACATTTTTAAATTAAAAACCAGTTTTATTGATGTATTTTGGTAATTAATCTTATTTTTAATATATAGTATAATATATATATATATATATATATATATATATAATCCTTCTCTCACTTTGTCTGTAACACATGCAATGCTGCCTTACAGTTTGACTTAAAAAAGGCATCTTTGAACATCGTGGATCAGCCTGTGTAGTTGAAGTGTGCATATAATCCCACAAAATGCTGACTATGTAGTTGCAACAGTAAGTAAGAGCCTCATCTTAGTGATAAACTCTACAATTTGATTCATTTAAGGAATAATTTGCTGCAGTGTAAATTCTCACACTTCACCATAATACATTACAATGCAATATAATTCAATTTTCAGTCACATTAGATGAGATTATTGAATTTGAAACTGCAAGTTTTCATAAAGTCTGCAGCCTCACAGCATTGTTATTCTTTATCCGTCTCATTTCTTTATTTATTCATTGCGTTTCAAATCCATGCATTTATCTAGAAATCTCATCCAGACTGATGCATCAGATTATTTCTCGCAGCCTTACACAGAACAGATGCCAAAGAGACGCCATCACACACCATCAAGACGGCATCGCTCTGCTCTGCATGAACTGTTCCAAACAGCACAATTCTGGAGCTGTACTCATATAACATACAGATGTCTACCCTCTGCATAATTCTGACAGACTCTCGCTGGAAGACATGCAGCATGTCTGAGGAATGTGTTTCAAATGAGAACTGGGACTCGCTTCTGGTGAGGAAGGAACTTTGGAGGAGAAAAGAGAGGTTTTCTAAAACACTGAATGTAAAGTAAAATCTGGAAGGAAGCAGTCAAAAAAACCATAAGCATTCCTGAGACAGTTTGTCATTGAAACGAAAACACAAATGCATGTCCAAAATAATGGCAAATATAAAATACACAAAAAGTACAAAAGTAAATAAATACACAAAAATATTGGGCAAAATAGTAAATTTTTAAATTGCTTCGTGATGCATTTTGTGATACTTAGTGATGCATTTTATGTTTGAACAAATGATGAAAAATGTTTAATATATAATATAATGTCATGCATGCAGTGCTATGTAGTTCACAAAGTTTTGCAACGGAGCAGAGCAAGACAGCAATGCATGTGCAAAATAACGGCAAATATAAAATACATAAAAAGTAAATAAACATGCACAATTATTGGGAAAAATAGTACATTTTTTAAATTGCAACTTATCGATGCATATTAATATTGAACATTACAAGTTTAATATATCATATTTATCTTACTTTTCAACAGAGCAGAACAATAATGTAATGCATGTGAAAAATAATGGCAAATATAAAATACATAAAAAATACAAAAGTAAATAAACAAACAAATATTGGGCAAAATAGTACATTTCTAAATTGCAACTAGCAATTTTTATATTACAAACAATTTTTTTAATTAGAACTTACTGATGCATTTTGCAATTGAACAAAAAAAAATTCATTTTTAAATATTTTATATAATATTTCTCTCACTTTGCAAGTTTTGCAGCAGAGCAATACAGTAATGCGTGTGCAAAATAATGCACATGCATTTATGTTAAAAAACAAACAAAAGTACAAAAGTAAATGAAAAATCCTTAAAATGTACAATTTTGGTTTCCAAACATCTTCATCAGTTAACATACTGTAAAAAGTGAAAAGCTGTGTGTTTGTAAGAAACAAATCTATCATTGAGGCATTTTAACTTTAAACCGTCACTTCTGGCCAAAATATGAGTCCACAATCCATAATAATGCTAATCTCCCGTTGTCCTCTCATATCAAAATCCACCAGCATATTTTGTTTAGAACTGTTTTGGCTTGTAAACAGTGTTTGATCTGTGCATATTTCTCTCCTGATTCAGACAAGGTGACTTTTTCACTGGAGAATCAATATTATGGAGTGAGGACTCGCATTTTAGCTGGAAGTTTTTCACTTCACAGGATGTAAACTGATGGACTGGAGTGGTGTGGATTACTTGTGGATTATTGTGATGTTTTTATCAGCTGTTTGGACTCTCATCCTGACGGCACCCATTCACGGCAGAGCATCCATTGGTGAGCAAGTGATTGAATGCTACATTACTCCAAATCTGTTCTGATGAAGAAATAAACTCATCTACATCTTGAGGGTTGAGGGTGAGCACATTTTTAGCAAATTTTCATTTTTGGGTGAACTATTCCTTTAAGCATAATCAAACAGAAACAATACAGTTTATTTTCCGTTTTTATAAATTCAAAATTTACAGCAGCGGTACTTCTTGTGTTGATGAGTCTGTGGTTTATCCACCAACTTTTGTTTACCTGCGTCTGGTCTCATCTGTCCTCGAGGTCTTCTGATTGGTGCTCCAGAGACGACCACAGATGAAGCTCTCCCATGATACCCCACTGGCAGTCTCAGCCTACAGGACAAGATCAAATGTCATTCCCTTTATCACAACACATCTTTTGGGTGAATTTTACATCCTTTAAAGGGTTAGTTCACCCAAAAATGAAAATTCTGTCATTAATTACTCACCCTCATGTAATTTCAAACCCGTAAGATCTTCGTTCATCATCGGAACACAAATTAAGATATTTTTGATGGAATCTGAGAACTGCCTGACCCTGCATAGACAGCAACGCAACTGAAATGTGTGCGCAAAAGAAAAAAAAACGACTTTATTCAACAATTCATCTCCTCCGCATCACCCTGGTGCCACAAAAAGTAGCTTTCTATAATTGCGGATGAACCACTGATGTCACATGGATTATTTTACAGATCTCCTTGCTACGTTTCTGGACCTGGGAACATTTCAGTTGCGTCGCGGTCTATGTAGGGTCAGACAGCTCTCAGATTCCATCAAAAATATCTTAAATTGTGTTCCCAAGATGAACGAAGGTCTTACGGGTTTGAAACGACATGAGGGTGAGTAATTAATGACAGAATTTTCATTTTTGGGTGAACTATCTGTTTAAGACATCCAAAAATGACATTTCTGTCATCATTTACTCCTCCTTATGTTGCACTAATCCAGACCTGCATGACTTGCTTTGTTCTCCAGAACATAAAAGAAGACATTAAGAAGAACAGCAGATGACAAATAATGGCTTTGATGGAAAAACTTTGAAATATTGTAAGATTTAGCCTTCAGTTATGATTATACATAACAGACACAGACACATATATTGTTTTATATATATATATATATATATATACTGTATATATAAACAAACAACAACAAAAGAAAAACAAATGAATACGTAAATAAATTCCACTTTAATATTTAGAGTAAATGCACATTGATAACCTAAATATTATGCATTTAGGCTTCCACATAAAACTCTTATAAACAGCAAATCATTTAATTATTTATTACAGAGGAATAAAAATATTAAGCATTTCTCACATTAAAAAAACATATGATCTCTACCTATTCACAATGATGGCATTTCTTTATACAATAATGTTTCAGATATGCTTTCAACGGAGGTAAATATAAATCGTTGTCCTTGGCTTTTAAAGTACTGTATATACATTTCCGGCTAGGATAATATTTGAACTTAAGAAGTTTTTTATGCACAATCATTCCAAATGATCGTATACAGTTTTAGTAGTAATTTAACATCCATTTCACTATATGAGATACTCCTCGAGCAAAGAACTGAAATTCAAAAGAGCAAAAAAAACTCTTAAAACATTCTCCTTATGTGTTTCACAGAAAAAATAGCAGCATGCAGGTTTGGAGTGACATGAGGGTGAGTAAATATTGACAATTTACACTTCTGTGCAACCTACTTCTTTAACGTTTCACTTCAAATCCTACTCCAAATTTCACACCGGCCACAAAAGCCCAGCTCAGGCCCGCGGCTTCAAGCCCAATGTAAATCAACTATAGATTTTCCTCCAGACTAATTCTCATTCTTTCCTGAAGAAGTGACACGTGTTTGGAAAGACCCGGTGCGGTGACAGACTGACTGAGCCGAGGGGAGCTTCAGGTAGGTGAGCTGCTGAAATTAAATTTCAGAAAACTTCCCTCTTCATTTCCACACGAGTCCTTGTTCTGTCTTCAGGCGAATGACTCCCTCCTTGGGCCTTGTAAGTGAAAATGTGACAAGAAATACGGTTCTGTTTCGGAGGGAATAGTTATTGCAAAAGACATTTTTCACAGCGAGCTGGAAAATGCGCAGGTGCATTATTTAGCCTGACAGGCGTACGCTAGGAAAGAATAAAGCTAGTGTTTACAGGAATAACTTACAGGAACTTTGCTGGGACATATATGGTTGCTTAATCAAAAGATGACTGAAATATGAAGTCGGCACGGTGATGGTGTGATTGTGCTTTCAGCTGCACGCTTGCTTCGGATGTTAGTATTTAAGAGGGTGAGGAATATTAATAGGCTGTCACATACCAGTTGGGCAACAGCAAATCATTTAATTATTTATTACAGAGGAATAAAAATATTAAGCATTTCTCACATTAAAAAAACATATGATCTCTACCTATTCACAATGATGGCATTTCTTTATACAATAATGTTTCAGATATGCTTTCAACGGAGGTAAATATAAATCGTTGTCCTTGGCTTTTAAAGTACTGTATATACATTTCCGGCTAGGATAATATTTGAACTTAAGAAGTTTTTTATGCACAATCATTCCAAATGATCGTATACAGTTTTAGTAGTAATTTAACATCCATTTCACTATATGAGATACTCCTCGAGCAAAGAACTGAAATTCAAAAGAGCAAAAAAACTCTTAAAACATTCTCCTTATGTGTTTCACAGAAAAAATAGCAGCATGCAGGTTTGGAGTGACATGAGGGTGAGTAAATATTGACAATTTACACTTCTGTGCAACCTACTTCTTTAACGTTTCACTTCAAATCCTACTCCAAATTTCACACCGGCCACAAAAGCCCAGCTCAGGCCCGCGGCTTCAAGCCCAATGTAAATCAACTATAGATTTTCCTCCAGACTAATTCTCATTCTTTCCTGAAGAAGTGACACGTGTTTGGAAAGACCCGGTGCGGTGACAGACTGACTGAGCCGAGGGGAGCTTCAGGTAGGTGAGCTGCTGAAATTAAATTTCAGAAAACTTCCCTCTTCATTTCCACACGAGTCCTTGTTCTGTCTTCAGGCGAATGACTCCCTCCTTGGGCCTTGTAAGTGAAAATGTGACAAGAAATACGGTTCTGTTTCGGAGGGAATAGTTATTGCAAAAGACATTTTTCACAGCGAGCTGGAAAATGCGCAGGTGCATTATTTAGCCTGACAGGCGTACGCTAGGAAAGAATAAAGCTAGTGTTTACAGGAATAACTTACAGGAACTTTGCTGGGACATATATGGTTGCTTAATCAAAAGATGACTGAAATATGAAGTCGGCACGGTGATGGTGTGATTGTGCTTTCAGCTGCACGCTTGCTTCGGATGTTAGTATTTAAGAGGGTGAGGAATATTAATAGGCTGTCACATACCAGTTGGGCATCAAGGCATTTTCTTTTCCACGGAACATTATTCCAACGTTGGTGGCATGATCTTTCGATGAGTAAAAGTCTGTGTAGTCGCCTGTTGCAGAGAAGGGAGAATAAAAGACGATGGGAAAAAAACACGGGGGACTTCTGTCAGACTTCTGCTCAGGTTTATTGTGTCATAATTCAGTTCACTACATTAAAGAAATATCTCAACCAGAAATGAAACTTCAATAACTAATCCTCTTGCTTTGTGTGAGAAAATAAATGATAAATTTTTTTTATATATTCACTGATAACCGCCACCTCCGCTGTTGCTCTCAAATCAAAATTTTCAGTATTTAATTGGTTAATGACATTTGGTTTTTAATTACATTTGGTATAAATTATGCAAAATCTGATGCAATGTTCCTAAAAAAGTGATTTAAGAGCCCCAGTGGAGAGTAAAGATGATTTATTTTGTGTTTCATGGAAGAAAGAAAGTAATGCAATGGAATAACAGCTGGAATAAAAGAACAACATTTACAAAAGTAAATTATTTACATAAAAGTAATACACTACCGTTCAAAAGTTTGGAACAATTAAGATTTAAAAAAATTCTTTTTAATCCAATGTTGGATTTATTTGATCAAAAATACAGTAAAACACTAATATTTGTTATTAATAAATATTATTACAATAACAAATTATTGTTTTCTATTTGAACAGCAAAAACTACTGGTGATAATAATAATTTAGCACCAATAATAACTATGAATAACTGAGCAGCAAATCAGCATATCAGAATGATTTCTGAAGACTGGAGGAATGATGCTGAAAATTCAGCTTTGATCACAGGAATAAATTACATTACAACAGTTATTTTAAATTGTAATAATATTTCACTACATTACTGGTCTTTTTTGTGATCAAATAAATGCAGTCTTGGTGAGCACAAGAGACCTTTCAAAAAAACGAAAAAAAAAATTATTATTATTATTATTGCAAACTTCTGACTGGTGATGTAAAAGTCAATGTACATTTTGGGATGAACTATCCCCGTAACTCCTTCATCAAGTCAATATGAAAACCACCTTTCACAAGTTCTTCCAACTTGCCCACACCCAGAAACTTGTTTAGAAAAGAAACATTAATTCAAGAATCACTAGATTTTTAACTTGTATTTAGGCACTCCTCTTGGCCATGCACCTGCAGCTATCTGTTATTATTTATTAATTAAGCATGCTCATAATGCAATTATATGCTCAAATTGTGCAAGAAAGACCAATGAAGAACTCTTAAGTATTAAGTATTTAATAATATCATGCAATCATTATCAGATACATTTTGAATCTGATCAGCATTCTATCAATGTAAATATATGGGAGATTTTTATACTTTAATCTTACATTTCTTACAAGAGTATTAAGCATTAAAAACGACTTAAGTTTTCAAAAGATATAATAATAAATATTCTATAAATAATAATAAATGCTAAAATAACTGCAGAAGTTAGAAGGGTAATTCAACGCTGACAAGAATTTAATAAAAGGTGACACGTTTTTAATAAACGTTGGCTGTCTATGCAGTAGAAACAACTTCTTTTAATCTCTGCTATCCTACTGGAGAAAAAGGGATGTAATGAAAAAACGTAGGAAAACATCCCATAATGCACAACAAACAGAAGGCTGTAATCTTTCATGGCATGAGAGAGGGTTTGTGAATGGCTCCGACAGCTATAGCTAGTGAACAGTGCACTCTAGTGATCATTATGGAACAGAACCATGACTTCTGCCTCTACAGGACAGTTTTTACCAATACGTGGGTTCAATTCCCAGGGAACACATGTATTGGTAAAAAATGTATAGCCTGAATGCACTGTAAGTCGCTTTGGATAAAAGCGTCTGCTAAATGCATACATTTAATACATCTTAATTTACATTTACAGGTTTTAGTGACACTAGTCAAATTCAGACAGCATTGACTGCTTTAAAGTCAACAGGAATGTGCTGATGTATGTATTATTCATCAGTGCATGCTTTCCAAAGAAAAAACATTGTCTTTATAATCTTTCATCAAAATGTAATAACCTGCTCTGCCTCAGCTTTGCTTTTCGGCAGTCATCAGAAATCCCTCTTATTTTTCAGCTCTTCGTTACCAGGCTTAATTCTGGTATGTAACACCACTTTTCATGATCCAATCAATTCTTTATGGATAAAATCAAGGCCCACCGTGCATTTTGTCTAGATGAATATCCTGTTTTATTCTGAAATATATCAGATTATGGAAGTAAAAATGGAAGTTGAGAAAGGCATGTCATGTTAACTTTAAATCTATATTGAAGAAAAGAGTTGAAACAAGAGTTGTATATGAAATACAGCCCAGAGTTAAAGCCGTCTGTTTCACGGTCACACTCACCGATCTCAGCTGGGAGATGCATCACTGCAGAAGTCTGCTGAACAAAAGCCCTGGAAATCACACACACACACACACACACACACACACACACACAATGCCATAAGGAACATTTCTTCAGCTTCCAGATTTAAATAATTTTGTAAATTAAAATTAAATAAATAAATAAAATAATAAATAAAACTTTTCTTCAGCTTCCTGATTTAAATAAATGAATACATTTATATAAAGAAATAAAATAATAAATAAAAAATGACAAATGTATAAACGCGTACAGTTCCACATACGTGATCCTGGAGCACAAAAGCAGTCTTAAGTCGCTGGAGTATATTTGTAGCAATAGCCAAAAATACATTGTATGGGTCAAAATTATTGATTTTTCTTTTATGCCAAAAATCATTAGGATATTAAGTAAAGATCATGTTCCATTAAGATATTTTGTAAATTTCCTACCGTAAATATATCAAAACTTAATTTTTTATTAGTAATATGCATTGCTAAGAACTTCATTTGGACAACTTTAAAGGCGATTTTCTCAATAGTTAGATTTTTTTGCACCCTCAGATTCCAGATTTTCAAATAGTTGTATCTCGGCCAAATATTGTCCTATCCTAACAAACCATACATCAATGGAAAGCTTATTTATTCAGCTTCATGCATAAACCTTAATTTTAAAAAGGTTTTGTGGTCCAGGGTCACATATAGGCAGTATACAGTGCATACTTAGTAATATACAGTAAGAAGTACAGTAACAAATAGCTAATTCCATATAGTATGAGGGACATTTACCGGCTTCTTAAACTGGCGTCATCACGCAGCGTGGACTCATTTGCAGCTAGAAGCATCTGGAGGCACTTTCTCGCCTCTCTCCAAGCATCATAACCCACAGCCATAAAAGCATTGAGTGTGGGCTTTGATGAAGAAGAAGAAGAAGAAAAAAAAAAGCATAAGGATGCAGAAGACAATAAATAAATAAATAATACAAAACTACACTGATGCTCACCTGTTCAAAAACATCCTGATGGGGTCCAAGAGCCGGTCCATTGAAAAGATGCTTGATAGCACTGAGGTCCAAAATCTGGTCTCCAATAGCAACGCCGATTCTGTGCCTGGACTGTTTTATACAAATATGTGGTACAAGTAAGAAAGGACCTTGTTGACTTGAAAATGTTGCATGGATTTTAGAATGTATTTGCTTTTATGACACACAATGTTCTCCAGCGTGATTATAGACGTTCCAAAAGACTTTACATGCTCAACGTCTCAAATAATATGCATGTATAGTAACCTTTTATACACATTGCACTTTTGCAATATTGTAGAACCCAATAAAAGCTTTGTTGACAATTAGATTTTCAGTGTGCATTCTGACCTTTGAAACCTTGTGTCCACACAGAAATGCAATGGAAGAAATAATATTCGAAGTAACATCATTCAGTCGTTTTATAAAGTTAATAGCGAGACTTTGTTCATTCAGTTCAACCAAACATACTGTCATGCCCAGGACTAAATAAAGCGTGTACTCACATTATCCGGCGTGGAAAAAACTCCGTAAGGCAAGTTGTGATAAGAAAAGTCACTTTTCTCCTCCACTTTTACGAAAGACATTTTGAAGTTGCAGTCGTACTCTGAAATACTCCTCAGAGTAACGAGCAGCGCGAGTAACCTCTTCCAGATGTTCACTTGAGACATATGAAAGTTACCGCCTCACTTGAGAAGCGGCGAGCCAATCAGAGACGCCCGCTTCTATCCTCCCTACATCAAGTACACTTCGTCTATTCGACGTGACTCAGCAGAAAAGTACCAACCGCAGCACGTTACTTATAATTCCGTTACATGTAACTAGTTACTCTCCAACACTGCTTATAGGGTATGGTTTCCATTATTTAAACTAATTCCTAATGTTCTAGGAACGTTTTTTATGTGGCAACCTAATAAAGGTTTTTTTTCTAAGACAAAACTGAGTAATATTCCACACAGAATGTATGTTCTCTTAATTTTTTTTATTTTAGTTATTTATTCATTGAATTCCTAACATTCTAAGAACGTTACTTTTAGGTTTACAAAAGTCAGGGCTAAGCGTAGTGTGAAAATCATACGGATGTTTGTTATATGTAGCTAAATTAATTTGCAGCACCTGTAAGGCAAGAATTGTATTACAGTTTGTCATACTTCACAATTTTCTGAAATTAATTAAGCTCCAGTCAATGGTACCCATTATTTTTTAACCAATTCCTAATATTCCAGGAACATTCTTTTTAGTAACTATTGTGTGTGTGTGTGTGTGTGTTATAACCTAACAACTATGTTGTCTTAATGTTTTATTTTTTATAACTATAAATAAGCTAACGTTTCCAGAACTCAAAGACTATTTTAATAAAAGACAGCATTGAATAAACACAGAATGAATGTTCACATTACTTATTTGTTACTTTAAGGTTTCATGGTTCATAGTGGTTACAGAAAAGAGTCACCCCCCCTTTAAAATAATCAAATTTTGCTGCTTTGCAGCCTGAAATGAAGATGGACACAGTTTGTTTTATCCAGCTGTATTTAATCAGTGCAACTTATAACATCCAAGTGTAAGATATAACACCAACACGTCAGGGAAAAAAAACCCAGAATCACTGAGTTGGAAAAAGGATCACCCCCTCCTAAAAATGACTTGTAACTCAATCAGGTTTAGCTAATCACCTTTTCAATGGCACACAAAGCCATTTGACTTCGAGGTCATTTTTGATCAGCTCAGCATGAAAAGAGCTTTCCTGGAGCATTTCAGTCCTTGGTAGTGCAACTGAAGCAAACAATCAACTATGTGTGGCAAGGCACTGTCTAAATATCTCAGGGATAAAGTTCAGGACAGGCACAAGTCAGGAGATGGATACAAAAAAAATATTCAAAGACTTTATCAATGCCTAGGAGCACAGTGAAGTCTATTATTAAGAAGTGGAAGGTATTTGGTACAACACAGAGCCTCTCTGGATCAGGACGTCTCTCCAAACTGGATGAAAGAGCCGAAGGAAACTGATCAGAGAGGCGACCAAGAGGCCAACAGCAACTCTGAAGCAGCTGCAGGAATTTATGACAAAGAGTGGTCATTGTGTGCATGTGACAACAATATCACAGATTCTCCACAAATGTGGCTTGTATGGGAGGGTTGCGAGAAAAAAGCCACTCCTCAAGAAAGGCCACATGCAGTCAGACTGAGGCTTTGCCAAAACGCACCTCGAAGTTTCTAAGGCAGATGAGATTAAAATTTAATTATTTGGCCTCAACACCAAACGATATGTCTGGCGGAAATCC